TTCAAATTACCCGAAACTTGTGGCTTAAAAAGCCACTTGATTTAAAAGTCAGAAAGGTGAACATGTTAAAGCTGTGAGGTTTGACTCAGAGAGCCGAGACAAGAGAAAGAAGCTGAAGTTTAGATAAATAGTTTATTTGGTTCTGGTCAGAAATGGTTTCACGGTGCCTCTGTAAGTCCAAACCTGCACGAGCAGCAGTGAAGCGAGCGTGGCATCAAACAAGCAGAACCCAACAGAACCCAACAGAACCAGGCTGGGATCAGCATCCGTTCAAAGCAGCAAACCGAAGAAGTGACCGATGAGCAGCTGAAGCCGCGTGTTGGGAGCGGATCCTCATCAGACTCTCAGCCCTTTCCTGCTGCTGCAGAGGCCGAGCTGCACACCCTCGACTTCCTCAGCTCGATCTTCATCGCCTGGCCTTCGGCCCGAGACTCCAACCTCGTCACAGCGGACACACCCACAACCGTCTTCCCGTTGAGCTGCACAGGGATCCGTGAGGCTGCGCTCGGAGCCGACTGCACATCCGAACTGAGCTGAAAACATAAAACCCAGGATGAACAGGAGACACAGGTCCTGGATGGAGAAACCTTGAAGACCCGAGCCTCTTAAAGGGATAGTTCTGGACTTTTCTAGTAACGTTTGAAGCAGTTATCAGCAGTAGATCTTGTTAGCATGTTCCCCCTTTGAAGCTAACAACCAGTGGTGGGCATTGCTAACTCAAAAGCTATCCGGGCTGATAGCGTTGCCACCCGTCCCGTATTGAACCGATACGGGACGCAATTTGTTCCGTACTCTACAAATGTGTATGTGTAATAATAAAGAGATGGTCCCCGAGTAGTTTATATAGTAGGCTGCCCCGGTCATTGTTTGACTCACGGTGTTGGTGATGAGACATTGTGCCCAACTGCTTTCTGGGTAGGTGCTGCCGCCGCAGCTCCCCCCACCCCCTTTACATATAGATGTATATGGTCCCTTATTTTAATTTCTGAAAGGTAGCAACCATACACGCTAACCATAAAGCACTAATCATAAATGTTAGCTCTGCTAACGCTAACGAGTTATACCAACACAGCAATAAATGGAAGCTAATGATGAACACTTATTTCAGCCATGTTGATACCCACCATGTGTCACTGAAACTCTGCTAGCATAAACAACACGGTCTGGAAGTAAAACTCAAAAATGTTCACACAAGATCTCCATTTCACTCTTGTGCTGTACTTCTGCATCTTACTTTTCTACAGTGTTTAAGTTCTTCTTTCACTCATGACGTTACCATCGGGAGTCATATTAGGTCTCACTCATGACCCAAATATGACTCCCGGTCCATCTTGGTCAGACAGTCAAAGATACAGTTGCCAACCGTCCAACCAAAACACACCCAAGGTCTATCACGGTCAGACAGCCTGAGACGCAGTCACATGGAATGGCTAGCAGTGGCTAGCAAGGCCACAATGATTTTAACTTGTTCTAATTGTTGCGTAGTTTCAACATAAATAGACCTGATGTCTTGGTTGGTTGGGCAGTTGGAGATGCTGGTGGTCTGTGAGGACCCACTGACTTTAATGTCTTCTAATTCCTGCATACGTTGTCAGACCGAACTTTCCATCGGATCGGGTGCCAAAACACAATCTGATACCTGCATAATCCTCAGTCACCTAAAACAATTCAGAAGCATTTGAAGTGTCAGAAGATCAGAAGTCACTCGAGATCTTCAGACACTCACCAGAGACTGTGTGGGTCTGGATGCTGCAGTGGTGACAGGGTTGATGGTTATACTGCTGGTCATCTTGTTCTGGCGTGGGGAGCGGAGCACCGTTCCAGTTTCCTGGCAGTCGCAGCTACTTCCTGTTGGTCTGACAGGACTGCTGCTGCCCTCAGCGCTTCTCTGGAACTGGGAGCCCAGGTGGATGTGGATCTTGTTGTCCTCCGTCGTTATGATGTTGCTGTTGAACTTCCTGTCTGGTGGTTTCTCGGAGGTCATCTTGATCAGTGTCCGCCTGGTGGTGCTCTCGTGAGGGTCGGATGAAGCACACACCTCAGCTACCGGCGTGGTGCTAACTGTGATGATGGACACCGGCGACTGCAGGACCCCAGCGATGCTGCTGGGCTTCTCTGGACTCTTGGTCCTAGAGATGCTGGTGACCGTAACTGGAGACTTGACCCGATCAGGATCTCCGCTTACAGTACAGACAGTTGAGGGTTTGGGGACTATGGTGATGCGAGGCTGCTGAAGACCAAGCGTTGGGATGATGGTTGTGCTGGAGAAGAAGTCCTCAGACCGCGGGCTGGTGATCTCCAGGGTGGCCGTGCTCGACCCGTGGTCTGGTGTCACACGGATGTGAAGAGGTCGTCCCAGATTCGGGGACATTGAGGAGGAACCTCTGGTCTGAGTCGGCGTGACGGCCTCCTTCTTGCCCATCCAGGGTGTTGAGGATCTCCCTCCATGGTCTGCTGATGCCGGAGGGTATCGATCCAGAACCGCGGGCCTCTTCAGGCCGTGTTGTCTGAGGTTGTTCATGAGGTGGTTCTCCTCCTGAACGGATTTCCGGATAAATCCGGCTGCGGTTTCATCCTCGGCCGACCCGTTTGACTCCGTCTGGACCGCCGTGGAGGTCACAGGAACGTCCACCATCCTCCTGCCGTTCACACCGGGCCTCAGGGCTCGGCTGTAGCGCTTCGAGGCCTCCAGCTCCCTGGCGAGGTTCTCCACATCCACACTCAGGCGCCTCTTCTTCTCTTCTTCCTCCAGGAACCTCTGCTGGAGGACGGAGAAGTCCACCTGCAGCTGGGAGAGCTGGTCCTCCTTGTTCATGAGTTCGTGGATTTTCTCCTTGAGGGCTAGGACTTCGACCCGCAGCTCTCTGGTCTTGGCCTCCTCCACTTTGCAGCGGATCCTCAGCTGGGCCTCCAGACTCTTGGCCTCGCCTCGCTCCACTGCTTTGCTCCTGGCCACCTGAGCCTTCATCTCGTCCACCAGCTTGGACAGCATGTTTGCTCGGTCCTGCTCGTGTCTGAACTTCTTCTCCAGCAGGTCGTATTCATCCTCCGACCTCATCAGGTCTCCCTCCACCACCTGCAGCTGCTCCAGCCGGCCTCTAAGCCTCTCTATCTCAGTGGTGAGCTTCTGGACTCGGTTGTCTTCTTCTCGGTCTCTGTTGGCCATCTCCTCCAGTCTGTCTGCTCCCATCTTCTTCAGCTTCTCGTTCAGCTCGTCACGCTCTTCCTCGCTGTTCCTCAGCGTCGATCGGAGCTCCTCCCTCTCCAGAGTCAGACCTTCCAGCTGGACTTCTGTCTCTGACTTGAACTTGAGGAACTTCTTGCTCTCCTCTATCAGCTTCTCAGTAACCTCCGTGACCTTCCCTTGCTCTGCCTTCAGCATCGTACTCAAGTCTTCGTGTTTCTGCTCCTCCTGCTTCAGCCGCTCCCCCATCGTCTTCCTCTCGTCCGCCAGGATGACGGTGAAGGACTTCAGCTTCAGCAGTTCCTCTCTGAGGGCCGACTCGTTTGTCTCCAGCTTGGACTCGGATGACTCCAGCTCCTTCAGCCGAGACCGAAGCCGCTCCAGGTCTGTGCCCAGGTCCTTCACCACCTTCCTCTCCTTCTCCAGGTTTTGGTGCAGCTGGGCGCTCTCCGTCCGGCTCCTGCCGAACGCCGCCTCCAGCCTCTCCAGCTCCGCCATCCTCTTCTGGAGGCCGTCCACCTGCAGCCGCAGCTCCTGGTTGCGGTTCTGCTCGTCCTGCAGCCGGTTCCTCAGCTCCCTGCACTGCGTCTCGGTCTTGGTGATCTCCTCGTCTTTGCCCTCCATCTCCAGGACTTTCTTCCTCAGGTTCTCCAGCTCTGCGGTGAGGGAGGAGTTCCCGCGCTCTCCTCTGCTGATCTTCTCCCTCAGCTGCTGCAGGTCCTCCTCAGATTTCTGCAGCAGCGCGTTCCTCTCCTGCAGCTCCCCGGCCCTCTGCGCCAGCCCGTCCAGCTTCAGCCTCAGCTGCTGGTTCTGGGACTCCTGGTCGGCCATCTTGGCCAGCAGGTCTTGGTGCTCCTGCCTGAACCTCGCCTGTTGGGCCTCCAGCTCCGCCTCCAGGCACAGCGCCTTCTGCCCGTCCTGCAGGGCGGCGTCGCTGGATGCGGCCAGCTGCCGCTCCCGGTCCTGCAGCTTCTGGCTGAGGTTCTGGATCTTCTGGTTCTGCTGGTCGATGTGTTCGACATGCAGCTGCCTCTCGTCTGCCAGCAGCAGAGTGAAGGACTTGAGCTTCCCCAGCTCGTCCTGCAGCTTGTCCAGCCTCCGGCGATGGTCCTGGTCCCGCCGGGCCTGCAGGGCCTTCTCCTGCTCCAGCAGCCGCTTCAGTCTGAGGGCAGAGGGAGGAACCGGGCCCCACATAGTCACTCAATTCAATCTTAAATCAATTTAAAAGGAAATTAAATCACAAAAGATGAAATTAAAATTGAATACTTAAAAAATGTCATTAAAATTTTGAATTAATTGAATAGAATTTAAATTGAACTGAACTAAGGGGTTCTGGTTCTGGTTCCTCTCTTCGGATCAGGAGTTCTGGACGACTAGCAGCTCATAAATCAGCTGAGCGCAGCCGGCCCCGGGCAGAAGCAGGCGCTGCGCTCACCTCTCCCTCTCCTGCTCCAGCAGGTTGGTGAAGTCGTCGCTCTTGTTGATGAAGTCGGCGTGTTTCCGCTTCTCGCTGTCCAGCTCCATGACGGTGCGGCGGTGGCATTTCTCCGCCAGCAGCAGCTGCTCCAGCATCCGCCTGTACGTCTCCTTCTGCTTGTCCTCCAGACGGTCCAGCTGCAGGACGAGGCGAGAACCTGTCAGCGCAAACCGTCCGGCCCGGTTCCCACGCCGGAACCGGCAGCTCCAGAGAGCCTGGGGAGCCTGCTGCAGCTCTGGACCGCTGACTTAATTACTAAATAATAAATATGCTATAAAAAACTTAAAAATAAATAAACAAAAATAAAAGAATAACAAATAAGAAAAATATAAAAAAGTAAAAGTAAAATATTACAAAAAATAAACAAAAATAAAAAAGGAAAAACATACAAAATTTATGAAATTAAATAAAAATAAATAATTAAATGATTTAAATATAAATTTTTAAAAATCTACCAATAAAAAAATGATACCAACTGCTGAGTACAGTGGTGGTGGCATCATGCTGAGGGCTTGTTTGAAGTTTAGCTTAGAATGTTCAACGTGAAAACAAACATTTAAACCAATCAGAACCGGACCGGGTCAAAGTGCCCAACCAGCTGGAAGGAGTCAGTCAGAACCGCTTTGACCTTCTGACCTCAGCCATCGGCCTCTCGTACACATCCTCTGTGCGCTGGTTGCCATGGAGAAGCGTGGCGTCCCTCTGCAGCGCCTGCAGCGGCCTGCAGGGGGCAGCAGAACCGTAGTGGGCCTCCAGGGTCTCCGGTCCGGTTCTGTCGGACCGCAGCAGCCTGATGACGTCATCCCGGGCCTGAGGACAGAAAACAGCTCAGATCGGTTCTGGACCCGGAGGAAACAGAAACCAGAACTTGGAGAAGAGTCCGACAGAAACAGACGGATAATCAATAAACCAACCAGATAATCTATCGATCAGTCCATCTCAGCTTCTAGCCGACGTTTCCATTCATCATCTCCTAAACAACATTTAACACTGCGACTAAAACATTTTAAATATTAAAAAACCCAAAATGATTAAAGTCAAAATTCCATTTGAAATAAAAATCATCACCATAATTCGTCTGCAAACAGCTGAAGCGGCTTTTCAGCGATGTTGACATTTCTTTAACAACTGTTGTAAAAATCATTGGGAAGTTTTTAATTTATTATGCAAATAATTAAATAAAATCCACCTGGAGGTTTCCTCTGAAAGCTGCTGAACCAGCAGAGACGTTCATCTGGACGCTAAGGCACAAGCTAACATCAGGGCTTCAGCCAATCAGCACCAAGGAAAAGAATCGCCAGCCAATCGCGTGTCAGCATTCTGCTTTCGGATTTTATTTAGAATATTTCAGATTTTAAAAATCCATAAATTGTCAGATTTTATGTTAATAACCTGCAGTAACAGGTTAACCC